TCCTCTAGAAGCCACAAAAACTTCCTCAGTAACTCCCTGTGTCCCTACATCAATTTTATTGCATTCCTTCTGGCACGGGGAAGGAATGAAAATGGGCGATGGTAAGATAGCTGCATGTTTTCTCCTCACTGTTTTTGCTGACTCAGAAATTTGAGAAGAACAACAAGCAGCAGCAGACAGCATAGCCTAACCTTATCCTGCTGGAATTCAATTGTATGGCTTGCACAGAGCCTTTCCAAGGAAAGCTATCACTCTTACTGTTTACATTGCATCACAGAAAACAGCTGGAAAAGCTGTAAACCCCATTATTTTGCTAGCTGTATAGAAAGTTGTTCCACTCAAGAACATTACACAACAGTGGTACAGACTTTCTTTTTTGAAGCTTCCAAAAATAAAGACAGGGGAACAAAAACCCCAACCTCTTTTTTTTTTTTGTTGAGGCTGTTGCAAAGGTTCAGACTTGTTTGAAAAAAAAAAAAAGAAATAAATGCTGATGACTGCCAACATTAATTGCCAAAAATGTGCTTTCAGTTATTAAAGTCCTAATGAGGTAAGTAGGGGAAAGGACAGTTTCTTATTTCTTGCTCATGACAAAAAGAGGGAGAGAGGAAGAAAAGCAATAAACAGACTAGCTGGTGCTCTGGGGTGCAGATATTGTAATGACCTACTGGTCAAAGCTTTAGAGACACCAGTGTTGCAGGTCGAGCTTTGCCATTTTTTGGCTAAGGAAATAAATGTACTTGCTACTAACAGTAGCGAGGTATTACCTGGTCTCCAGAGAGAGCACAGCACATACACAAATGCTTTCCTGAGGCCACTGAATGCCTCCCCATGTGTTAGGAGAGACTGGAGCATGGAGGGAGGAAAGCAATGAAAAGGCAGGTGAGGGACAGCCACATTTTCTCATTTCCTGGCCACAATCAATTCCCAACAGCTCCAATGAAACATGTTACCTCCTCTCCTGTGTGACTAATACAGCTATAGCTCAAATCAAAAGGTACCTGGATTACATAGTAAATCCTGAATCTTTATACAGCCAAGGAATTCACATGGGGAAATAGGATGGAACCTTCCCCGTAGCGTTTACAGTACTTGTGTAACATCACAGGACCACGGGGGGAAACTCTGCTGATGGTTTTTGTTTGGAAATGGCATTGCTTTGGAGTTCGTGTTGATTTTTAGGAGTCCACAGAGGATGAGGGCTTTTGGAGAGGTGGGAGCAACAGTGGCTGTAGAGAAGTAGAGATTAGAAAGCAGAAAGTAGAGGGAGTACAGATTTTGTTAGAAGTCATGATAGATGGAAAATGCTTCAAGAAATTGTGCCTTAACTCAAACAGCACAGAGACTCTTCTGGCCTTACTAGCTGTTGCAGGTTAGTACACTCCAAATTTATGACCTTCTGCTTGCTTGTTTTTTTTTGCCCCTGAGCAGCCCAACCAGTGGGCACATGCATCTGCTGAGCCAGGAGGCAAGGAGAGCCCTTGCTACAGACCCACCCAGCTTTCACCAGCACATCAACACTTCAGGCAGCTTTTTGAGTGGCAGATTATTGGCTCTGGTTATGCCTGGAGAGAGAAAAGCCAAGTTACAGTCCCCTCAACCTATGCAATATAACCATCCACTTCCCTACTTCACCAGGCTGCACTTTGTCCATGTCCAGTAAACAGCAGCGTAGCATTTTGTTTTAAAGCCATTCCTAGAATTAGGAACTAAAACTGACCCAGGCTGTTTAAACATCTTGTTACAATTACTCAAATATATGCTTTTAAAAGCAGAGTTTACCAAAGTGGCTTCACATTTTGTTACTTATTCCTAGTTTTGTTTTGGCATTCACTAGCGTTCATGGGAGTACGTATGTGTCTGAGCTCACGTGCTGATCTTTGCTTGGGGATTTGTCCCCATAAAACAGGGCAGAAGGACCAATTCGCCATATGTTTTTTGTAGCAGGCAAGATTAAGAGCTGCTAACAACAGAGCAGCCTCTGGAATCAGTGCAGGGTCGAGCCCAACAGCACCTGGAAGCAGATCCATAATGGGAACAGAAGGAGAAGATGGGCAGCAGTTTTGCCCTCTCAGGCACTGCTTGGCCTCTTGCATTGTTGCCCATCGGGAATACTGGGGAAGGGACAGAGGAAATGCTGACAAGAGAAAAAAAGCAGCTAGACATAAATGAATCCTGGAATCATCTCAAGTCCCATACCGTTCATAATTACCTATCATTTTACTGATCCAAACATTCAGTCCTCTGAAAGACCCTAATCCATTACCTGCCATGTGCTGCCCTTTGTAATTTCCTTGTGCTGCAATGCTCTGCTAAACTTTGATGTTCTGGCAAGACCAGGGAGGCTCTGAAATCTGGGATTAGCAAACATCCGCAGGCATGATGTAGGCTCTCCAGCATTAGCATATGTTCCAGCATCTGAGTCTAATAAGGGCATGCCAAAATCTGCACAAGGCAGCAAGGTGATTCCTCCTCGCTCTTTCAGGTGGCAATGCCTGGGCCAGGGCAGCTCTTTGAAGTCAGGACAAGCTGGAAACACATGTCATGTCAGCTACAGATGCTCTGCTACAGGGAGGTTATACACCCTGCTGTACACATGCTTCTGTCCTAGAGACACTCAGCTTGGTTAATACAGAAATTCATTCTGGAGACCAAGACATTAACCCTTGTGTGACACTGCCCCAGAGAGTCACCACTGGGTACATGTCTGCATGCCTTTTTTTTCCCTTAAAACCCACACAAGCTATTCATGGGAAAAAATTGTCCATAACACTTCCAAACAATGGCTTACATGCCCCAGTCTGGAGCTGAGCAGCAGCACTTGCAGCATGATGAACTTTAAACTAGATGAGCTTAAGGTTCTTTCCAACCCTAACTATTCTACAATTCAGCTACTTCCCTCAATGTGTTTTCAGCCCTGTCTGTTGATTCCTAGGTGCACCTGCAGTAATTACAGCAGGAATAGCATTCCTTTTGCATAAATCTGGTTTGAACAGCAGTATCAAATACATGAAAAACACGAGTCACAAATCCTTTCCACAAAGAGTTCACCATCCCTTGCGTTGAAAGAAAAACCTTGAGATCCACAGTACTAATCGCAAATGCAAGTATTTCTCTCTGAGCAGGGAAGGTGTCTTTGCTGAGCTCAGGGCTGACATTGAATGTATGTCACCATAGACCTGGGTAATGTCTGTTTATAAAGTTCAGATGGAGAGGTGTAAGCAGCTCTCCCATTCTGGGATAAACAGCTGCAAACAAAGCACAAGAAAAAGCAGTTTTGTTTTGTTTTTGACTAATTTGTATTTGCTGAGAGCACGCGGTTTGTTCGTGGTGTTGCAGCTGTAAATTTCAAGGCGGCTGCAAGGTAAAAACTGAAACTGTACAAGCAATTAGCCCATGGTAATGTCTAATCACTGCTGGCATCTAAAAAAACGTGAAACAGCAGGGATGCTTAACTTTGAAAACCAGCTACTGCACAGATGCAGGAACTGTGTTTGTTGAGGAAGTTTTCCTTGGCATATCGATGTGAACTTTAAAAGTTGGCTCGAAGCACAGCACATAAAGACCACAGAACTGTAGAAAGGAGTATTGTGGCTCATCTCATCATACATTTGAGTATAGGAAACTTACAACAAATCAAATGGTTTCTAAGGGCCAGTCTCCACCAGACCAGCTAGAAAGTAATTATTTTCAGCTGCCCTTAGTATGCTTCAAGTTCATGCTCTTCTTAGCCATGAAGATTGCATGTGTGATCCTGCATCTTTTGCACAGAGTCTATGATTAAGCAGCTGCCACCCCAGCGCTAAAAGGTCACAACTCAGCCCAATCCAGCAATCTGTGCTGAACCAAGCAGCACGCGAGAGCCTCGAGGGGGTGTGGGTGCCAAAACCTACAGTGAGAAGCTGAAATGTATTAAAAATAACCATAAGAACATGTCTGCAGTCAGGGCTTAGCTTGCTGGGGAGGTGCAGGGAGACCCCCAGCCAGGGGGCTGGAGCCTTTCCTGGCTGCCCAGCTCTGACCCACTGGACAGGGCAAAGCAGTGATTTATTTTCATGCTTTTGGTGCTTTGTAACTGAAGTGTAATCTCCTATGGAGCAGTGGGGGTGGTGCTGACCTTACCGCATGAAAGAGCAATCCCTGTTGTATGAGGATGCTGCTATTGTTTCTCCTTGCAAAATTATGGTTGTGGTATATTGCTGTCTCCAGAAAGGCATCTCTTGGAGAGATGTGTTCTGGAATCCAGAGGTACAGCAGTCGATTCCACATTTCTCAAAATTAACTTTTAGCTGAACTGCTGGAAAGTGTTGGAAGCAGCCAGGATTTTCTAATTACAAATCCAGAAAATCATATATTTTATTATTGAAAGGGTGCATAGCATGCAAGCACACATGGGGAGCACAAGGTCCATCTGTGTCACCATGGCCGTGGCAGAAGGGCCAACTTTAAGAGGAGGGACCTGCCAGACCTTTCTACTTCTAATCCAAGCTAGTGCCAGCACTGATCTGTGTCTGAGCACATCACTCTGCATAGCATGACAAATCCATTCTGACCTCCCCCTTCCCTTATTTAAAAACCATTCTTATATTGATTTGAATCAGTGTAGGCTAATGAAATCGGTGGGGGTATTACAGCATGTGCCTGCACCAACTGCTAGACCTATATTTTCAGATGAAGCAAGAAAAGAATGGCCCAGACACAGCCAGCTAAAATTGTATCAGGAAATAGAGGAGCAGCTAAATGCCCTCTGCAAACCTCCTCCCTGCTTACTGCTTACCCCTGAGCAGTGCCAGTAGAAAGTCACTGCAATGCACATCCAGGAGCAGTGAGTACAGTACCCTTGGTCTGAGAGTATGAGAGCAAACCATCTGCATACAGCAAGGAGAACCATCACACAGCCATACTGACAGTAGGGAAACAACCTGTACAATAGGTGCTTGCTTCTTTACTCTTCCCCCTCATGAGTGACCCTGCAGTTGCACAGAGAGTCTCGCACCTACCTGCAAAACACCCACAAAGAGAGGGCTAGAGGACAGGCTCTCTGCAGCCCACACCACCTCCAGGAAGCCTCCTCAGCTAGCAAGCAAACAAGACTGAATCATCAGTGCTTTTAATGAGCTTCATGGTGCCAGCGCATACTCCTAATGCTCCACCACAGGTGGATGAGCTGCACTCAGGCTGCTCCCTGCAATAATGCTCATTAAATGCTGGAGCACATCCTCTGGGCAGGTGAAAATTCTCAGTAACAAGGTTTAGTTTGGACTGGTGTCTATAGGGAGTATTCCAGACGCAGCTGGTCTTTCATAGTGGATGAACAAGGCAACATCTCAGTGTCACTCTATGATCCCGAGGAGGAGGAGTCTCCAAATGTGCCTTTGGAGCCCTGCCAGCTCCATCAGACACAAGAGACATACAGGGGCAAAGAGCTGCCCCATTCCTTCTCCACCAAGCGAGCAGTGTTAGCCGCACTCACTCTTCCCAGCCTCTGCAGCAGGGGCAGGTAGATACTGATTTGCAAATCCACTCATGCACCCAATGCACATCCCAAGGGAAAAGTGTGGACACGTGTAAGATGTTCACAGGTGGGAAAGGAGGTGCAGACTTTAGGACTTTTAACATAATCCTCCAACATCACACAAATCACAGACGAAAAAGCCAGCTCTTACAAACAGCACCCTGAAAATGTCCATAGGTAAATGGTGATTCTACACATCTGGTGGGGTTTTGCTGAGCGAGTCAAATATGCAGCATCAGGGTTGGCTGAGCATCAGTATTATGTTCCAGTTTACCTCTGCTGTCATATATTTAATCTCCAGTAATTAAACTTCTAAACGAATCCATTTCACAAAAGCCACAGTGCATGGAGTGAATCAGTGAGTAAATGTTCATAACCTCAGAACCAAGCCCGGATTGGGGTCAAGCTGCTCTGTGCAGCAGCCGATGGAGCAGATAGAGATGTAACTGTTAAAGACAAAACTAGAAGTAAAAATACAAATAATCCCTTTGGCTCAAGGTTTTCCAATTCTTTCCTGTTACTAAAACAATATTTTACAAAAGCATGTGGCATATTGGTTTGCTGCAGCTCACGAGTACAGTAAAAGAAATGATGAGGAAGCTGATTAGAAACTTCTGATTAGAAGTAAAATATATCACTGGTAACATCTGGGTGCAAACTGAGAGTTCACAGTGTTGTAGACATGGAGAGAGCAATCTGTCACCTGGATTGCTTACTTTAGCGAGATAAAATGAGTTTTACCATGGCTATATTCAGCGCAGATGGCTAAGAGCAGGGGTGGGATGTCACGCACCTCCAGAGAGATGCTATGGCAAAAAGGGTCCCAAGAAGCACGGGCAGGAGGGCACAGTCCTTCCTGGGCATGCAGGAGCAGGGAGGACAGGGCTGCAACACCATGGACTACACCGGTGTTTGACTTCTGAAGGACATAGAAAGGCAGGAGGTGTTTCACTGGAGAGGAGGGCACAGTGACCTCAATGCTTGCTCAGCACACACTTACAGAGCATGTTCTTTTGAAGATTAAGAAATGCTTGGGCTACAGGAAAGAAGAAACTTTGGGGAGAAAATAGCAGACACATAAAGGCTATTTAAGAATGAGGGAAGACAGCAAGAATGACTGGGTAAGGACTAAAGCCAGACAAATGCAGATGAGAAATAAGTCATTGTGTTTTCAGAGCAAGGAGGATTAACCTCTGAAATTAACTACCCAATGAAGTGATGGATCATCTGTCTCCTGGTATCTTCAAATCCAGACTGGATGCCTTCCTGGAAGACATGTGCAAGCTAAATACAGATTTCTTGCTTTGCAAAGGGGTGGATGGGTGAGGTTAAACAGCCTGAGGTAGGAGGAAGCTAGTATGGATGATCTAAGGGTCCCCTCTAGCCTTTAATCTCTGAATGTGTGAATTAATGAGACATAATACAACACAGAATGTCCCCAAATCTATGGGTTACTGCTGGTTACAGGTTGTTTTGAGTCATCCCGTGCCGAAAAAGCACTCCTACTGACATCCATGGCACTGCCTGCAGGAGAAGCTGCTGTGCCACATGGACAATCACAGCTCCATCTTGACATAAATAATCATAAAATGACTCAATTTTCTTCTCTGCAGGAAAAAGAAGAGCTAACACATCACATCGCTCTTCACAACTATGACCCAAAGGGTCCTCACTTTACACTGCTACACAAAATACACAGAGCAGAACATTAATTTTCAGAGGTTTAAACATATTACTTTTAAAAGAGAAAGGTTTCTTTCCCCTATCCCTTATAGATCATGGTCTGAACTCACCAGATATCTGCGCCTCCTGCAGACAGCCCTTCCTCCTCCATAGGTACTAACAGACTTTTGCCCTCTCTATTAAGAAGAAAACTCACCCAACTCAAAACTGGTAAGAACATACAGTAAAATCAAGCAAAATTTAAACTTCAGTAGAAGAATAATAGAAGAGACCAGGAAAAATCCTAGAAGCCCAACTCGTGTGTACTCCAAAGGGCTGACCTGTCCCCAGTGAGGCTGGCAGTGTGCCCACAGAGTCAGACCTCCAGGCTGGCTCTGGAGCAGAAAGGGTAATACTTCCACCAGTGATGCAGAACGGCAAACCTGAAAATTTACCCTCAAATGTCCAGAAAATCAGCAACACGTGGCAAGAGAGGCCACATGGTGCTACCCCCTCTATGTTTCACTTAAATTTTTATCCATTCCATGTGTTGCTTTCTTGCCATTTAGAAACTTAGTTCTCATTTGTCATCATTTTCACATTTCACTTCTGGACACTGCTCTCTGTGCATTATCCATCCTTTTTATCTTGCCGTTTGAACTGTGTTCTGCAGCTCTGGTTCAGTTTTACCATTCATTCATCAGCATGAACTTAAACAATTACTAACCAACTTGGGTAGCTGGCAAGCAGTGAGGAAGCAAGATCCGTTTCTGCCCAGAGGGAAGAATGATTTTATACAATAGCGTGGCCTTTGTTTTGCATCTCATGGGTAATGCTATTGATGTGAAGGTTATATCACATTCTGTGCCAAACCACTTGAGCTAGTTTCAGATTGCAGTTCCCCCTTGGCATATTTCCACTCAATATATAAGATAACCAGATCTGCTCTCTGTCCACTCCAAGCCTGGACAGTGCTTAGTCAGCTCCCCACATCTTGGCAAGCTGAAGTGAGAAAATGGAGCTGCACTCCCCCTCTAGTTATTACCATTTTATCAATGATCACTCCTCTTAATGCTCCGGAGCACATGGCTAAACAATGAGCAAATTGCGTGTTTTCCTGTGGTGAGACAAAACATTTAAGTGACTGTAAAACACAGGGCCCTGTACGTGTCAATACATTCTGTTTGCATCTGCAGAATTGTAGTACTTTGTTTCAGCTTTAACTTATGACCACAAAACTGCTGATTACCTTGCTGCAAAGAAATGGAATTGGAGTGCATGACAGAGATGCAGTTCTGTTTCCCACACATCAGGAACATCAGGATTCAGGGAGCTGACCTGGGTCATGTTTTATTATTTTGCTTTTAGAATCATCTCAGCATTTTTCCATTACTAGGAAAGGCAGCACAAATAGCAGTGATCTTAGCTTTGGTTTGTAGACCTTGATGTTTCCTCCCCCAAGCTCTATTTTCCACTGTAATTGTTATTTTACATTGTAATTGCTGTTTTGCATTTTAATTGTTATTGTAACTGTAATTGTTATTTGGCAGTTTAATTGATTTCGTGATCTGGCCTCCCAGTTTTCTTGCACTGTGCTGATGTCAAATATCAAAGAAGGCTTTTATTTGCAGAGTCCGATACCTGGTGGAAACACTACTGCTGGATGTGACTTGGACTGAGCCATAGCACCAGAAACCAAGTGTGGAAAGGGGCCAGTTTGCTCACAGCCACTCTACAGGCATGTCCAAGGGGTCCCAGCTCAGAAAGCAGGATGTGCGATCTGGCCTGGGGATGCTGTCCAGACCTCGTGTTTCCAAAGAGATGTGAATGGAGTCTGCAGGGAACAGTTAAGGATTTTGTTGATTTAACCCTCTGAAACAGTTTAAAAATAACACTTCCTGTCCTTAGAACATATCTCTGCTATTCCAGTGTCCATTGTTTTTTATCATATCTTTTTCTTTTCTGGGGGTTAATGAGCTCTCGCAAAATGGCTGGAGCCATGCTACTCTAGCATGAATTTTTGGGGTTAAAGAACTGGACCTTGGGGCCTTTCTTCCCAGGAAAACTGCCAGATACAGGATTTTGTCCTGAAAGGTACCAGGAGATCCAAAGATGGTTACAGCATCAGTAATCAGACTGGGTTTATTCAGTGCAAGGTGGTGGAGAGGCTTAGCACTGCTTTTGAGATGGGGATCCGGTTAAACAGTGTCACACAGCCTAGGGCAGCAGAGTCTGTAAATATTTTATTCTAGCACCCCCGAGTCTGAAAATTTAGGAGGTCATAAGGAAAATGCCTTAAATTTTGAGGTCATTATTAAAGGGCTGAATCAAAATTCTCCATAAAGGGCCTGAAAGCACTGAGAAATCCATCATATGAACTCTATGGGTTGGTTTTGTTAATGGTCAAAATCAAAACTGTCTTTTTCATTTAAAAAGGACACACGCAACTACTCATCTCAGTGCAAGAGGCTCAGGTTCAAGTCCTTTTCCTGCTCACTAAAGGCTTTTTTTTTTTTTAGCTCCCTTCTGCTGGAACCAGTTAATTTGTATAAACAGTGAAGCATTGACCAGATTAGAGCTCCTGCCAGTATAATCTGGTCATCAGGATGATAGATGTGAGATGGACACTCCCATGCAGATCTCCAAACCAGGCACATTACAGGGAAGTGTCACAGGTCTGAGTGTCCATCTCCTCCATCACCTTCCTGCCACTCACTCTGCCTTTCTGAGCCCAAAATCCATCCCCGGGAACCTTCTCACAGTGTTACTGAGTGCAACACATTTCTGTCAGTCAGCACTGTGCAATGAAATGCTGGTACAAGGGGATGTCCCTCATCAGCATTAGTCAAAATCAGCAGAAAAGGAACAGTAACTTCATCTCATTTTATGTGCAAGT